CCCAGAATGGAGGTGACACTCAGCAAGTGTGCCCAAGAAGAGAGCAGTGAGGGGTTTTGAAGGGGGGATATTTACACAGGGGGCAACAGCGGCCACTGGAGCTTTAGGCAAACAGGCAATTAAGTGCACGGAGACCCTGACAAACAATTTTTTTGTGCAAAGTACATTTCAGCTCTCTGACTCCAACACTTCCTGCCCTTCTAAGTTTCCTTTCAAATGTAATGGGAGGGAGGAGGTAATATCTAGGTAGCACCTAGAGAATATTGCCAGAGGATCAGGCGATTTACCTAGTAATTGGCCCAGACAGGAGAGATACTGGAGAGAAACCTGTGGCCACTCTTTAATGCAGACTGCTAAGTCCCTGCTCATTTTCTGCTGAGTGGACCACACTAGACCAGGCTGACAAAGCACTGTTTCTTTTGAGGACAGAACTTTGTACACTCCAGTCCAGTTCTAAGCCAGACCCAGCCCAGGAGCGTGGGGTAAGGCCAGGGTGGAATGAAGTTGAAAGGTAGCGAGAAAGGCGTGTGAACTGTAAGCACTCTGTGGACAAGAAGGAAGACACACAGTGTCCTCAGACCCCCTCTTTAAGACAGTTCTGGAACTGAGTGGTCTCTGAGAAAAACTTAAAACCAACCTCTTTAAGGCTGGTTTCTGACAGATCTGTTCAGACTAGTTTGAGGGCTTGTGGCTCATAACATGAGACCCATTTGGTTGTTTGAGTTAAGCTCGGGCTGAGTGTTGCATCTTAGCAAACCCAAGGGCACAGTGACCCAGAACATGAACTCGTTGTTAAACAAGCATACCTGGACGCTTCCTGAGAGTGCGGGACCTGCTCCAGGAATCCTTTGCTCTCTAACAGAAAAGAGACTGGCGGTGGGGACAGCAGCAGGGAAGTCCCCTCCAAATCCCCGCACTGGCAGGAAAGCTGAGTGCAGGGAGTGGCCTGTGGCAGACAGCTTTTCCACCAACAAGGAAGGGTCCAGAAGGAGAGAAGGCCTGCCAGTGATGAAGGCTCACTGCAGGGAATCTGGCCCCTGGGCTTGGTTCTCAGCACAGATCCTGAGCAACTGTAGAACCCAGGGGAAGACACTGACTTCTCTCTGGCTAACGGGCTTGTGTAAAACTGGAAGAAACAGCCCATTTCACAGCCCGAGAGGGCAGCAGCAAGTCAAAGTGCTTGTAAAAGAGCTCTCCAGGCTCCCGGGGGAGCTTCCCTAATGAGAGGAGGGCCAGAGTCTCTACATGGTTGACTCTGGAGGTCGAGAGTCACATGGACTTACCTAGGCTCTCTCCTTGACTACAAAAAACTTCAAAAAGTGGCAGGTGACCAGACCCTCAAATAAGACCCTGAATCCTCAGGGGTCAGCATCCCGAATGCCAGAGAAGGGAGAGAATGCTCTTGGTTAGCAAGCCCCACCAACGTAGATGACGACGGAGAAGGAAAGTGGAGAAGCCTGAGAAAGAAGATGAGAGAGAGGGAAAAGTGTGCTCCGTGTCGGCAGTCACTGAGTAATCTGTCCCAGAGCCCACCCAGAATGACCTCCTAGTCACCATCTTCAGAGAAAACTTGTGAAGCTGGTGTCTGGGCGCCGGTCGTGAGTCCTAGGAATGGGGAGAAGAAGCAAAGATGGAGCTGGAGGAGGAATGGGGCTTGGCTCTCAAGCCAGGCACAGACAGCAGGGTGCTCTGTTTGCCTACAAAAGGCCCAACTCTTTCTCAAAAAATTAAAAATAGAACTAACTGTATGATCCAACAATCCCATTACTGGGTACATATCCAAAGGAAATCACATCAGAATGTCAAAGAGATGTCTGCACTCCCATGTTCACTGCAGCACTATTCACAATAGCCACGATATGAAATCAACCTAAGTGTCCATCGATGGATGAATGGATCAAGGAAGTGTGGTATATATATGCACAATGGGATACTACACAACCGTTAAAACGGAGATCCTGTCATGTGTGGCAAAATGGATGAACCCAAGGACATCATGCTAAGTAAATAGTCCAGGCACAGAAAGACAAACACCACATGATCTCACTAGTAAGTGGAATCTAAAAGAAGTTGAACTCATAGAAGCAGAGAATAGAATGGTGGTTACCAGAGACTTGGAGCAGGAGCATTGGGGAGGTGTTGGTCAAAGGATACAAACTTTCAGTTAGACAGAAGGAATAGGTTCAAGAGATCTATTGTACAACATGGTGACTATAGTTAATAATGTATTGTATACTTGAAAATCACTAAGAGTAGATTGGATTATAAGTATTCTTAAAATAAGTAAGGCAATGCCTCTGTTTTAACTTGAGTTAGCCATTCCCCAGTGCATACATCAAAACATCATGTTGTGCACCATAAATATGTACCATTTTTATTCGTCAACTAAAAAATAATTTTTTTTTAAAAGCCCAGCCTGGTCCCTCTTTGAGTCACCAGGCAAAGCCATGCAGCACTGAGGCCAGAGGTTGTAAGTGGAGGTGACCTGGGCTCGGGCCTTCCAAAACCCAGGGAAAGATAATACAAGATCTTAAATTCACCAATGAATGAAATACCTTCAGCCCCCAGGGGCAGGAAACGAAACCAGATGACAGGCCAAGGCAGAAACAGCACCCGGCCCCCAGCGTGCAGGAACACCACTGTACGCATGTCCACATATACCTGTGCGGTAACAGTCGCTGTCAGACATCTCAGAAAAGGACTTCACAAAAGCCCAGGACAAGAGACCAGAAACCATCATAGCACACCAGCCTCCAAATTAAAGGCCTCGCTGGGTGGGGTGAATAGGACAGAAGAGTTCCTTAGGAGTGAGACTCACCTAGCACCGACCCACCTGCCTCCTTTGGCCATTGTGTTACTTCTTTGGCCCATTGTGACACCACCTGGTAGGGAGATCATAAACTTGTACTGTGGGGTGGGCTAGAGGTGCAGGAGACAGCTTTCTGCAGGCTTGGTACGAGAAACCTCACATGGGCAGCTACGTGTGGACTGCACGAACTGGTTCTCAGAGGCCAAATCTTTAACTCCTTTGTCTATTCACAAGAGTTAAGAAAAAGACTGTTTTCTCTGTGCTAAGAAGGAATGAAAGCACTGCACTGGCACAGTCAGCAATGCAGTCACTTTCTGATCATATTAGTGGGAAAAAAGCCAGTAGCCAAGTGACTGAAAACACACAGATCTTTCCTATTTAGCTTTGAAATGAATTTTATGATTGTTTTACACAATTAGTAACAGGTTTTATTTCCTAGTTGAGGTGACAGAGTCGGTTGGTATTCTCCAAGCCCACAACTTGCAGAGTTACTGTGTCATTAATGATCGAGAGTCCACGAAACGTGCCCTTTGCCCTATAGGGCTGAGCATGCCAGGAAAGCTATCATAAAGGCGACCCCTGTAAGATCAGCCTCTGAGCCAGAATGCAGGAGAATCGGATAAAAAACAGAGGCAGAATCCTCCCTTTAAAAAGTTTGGAGCCTGCCTCTTTCCTGGTCTTTTAAAAAGTGGGACATCACTTTAAAATTTAAAATCACCAAGCACATTAGCCAAATAATTCTTAGACCTTTAGTTAAAAGTTGTAGAGCCCATCATCCAAATAGATACTTCATAAATAAATACTGGAAGGACAAACAAAAAACCAATACAAATAATTACCTATAAGCAATGGGAAAGTAAGGAGGGAATGGGGTGGAAGCAAGACTTCTTTTTATAGAGTTTTGGCTTTTGAAGCACATAAATTTATAACCTCTTCAAAAGAGTAAAACTGTTTTTAAAGCCCCAAATGTAAAGGAGCTGCTCTGGCAGAAGGCATGGAGGGGCAGCGGGAGAGCCCAGCCGCTCTGCTCCCTGATCAGCCCGGGGCCTCGTGCCGCTTCCACGCTCTAGGCGTTTGGACACCAATGGCCTGGCCTGGGCTTCTGCCCTGCAGTGGAGGGGCAGCGGGAGAGCCCAGCCGCTCTGCTCCCTGATCAGCCCGGGGCCTCATGCCGCTTCCACGCTCTAGGCGTTTGGACACCAATGGCCTGGCCTGGGCTTCTGCCCTGCAGATGGACAGATGCAGGCCCGGCCACCTGGCTGGCTGTCTCTCGCATAGGACACACTCAGGAAGGGTCAACTACACTCCCCGGAAGAAACAAAACACTCTATCCTTCTGATTTATTTTTAATTAAAAAATAAAAGTTATCTTAACACATCTGCATTGCAGCTTCAGCGATGGCAGCGTAACAAAGCAAGGAAAGCAAAGCTTCTCAGCTCTCAGGTCACCTGACGTCTTATGATGGGTTACAAAGGCACACGGGTCTTCAAACAACAGACTTGATTCAGAAACATTTCTAATAACTTGGACTCCCTTCCCCCAACTCTTTGCCTGCCCTCACCAACCCCCCGCCCCCCAAAACCCCAAGGCATTAAATTCTCTTTTAAAGCTACAGAAATGAGTGCTGAGTCAGCAGGGGACCTGGGCGTAGGGCCCGAGCGCCTCGGCATCTCTCTGCACTGATGCCTGCCTGCCTGGGGCTGGCTGGTGACGGTGACAGCGGGGCAACCTCCGATTGCCAGGCCCTGCTGAGTCAGCAGGGGACCTGGGCGTGGGGCCCGAGCGCCTCGGCATCTCTCTGCACTGACGCCTGCCTGCCTGGGGCTGGCTGGTGACGGTGACAGCGGGGCAACCTCCGATTGCCAGGCCCGGTTCTGGCTCTGCAGCACAGGCCTGCTGCTTGTCCCCTGCCCCAAAACCATCACCCCAGAGGGGGCACACAGCTCCCAGGCACTGTCTCCCTTAATCCAGGGCGTCCGTGGCTAAAGCAGCCTTCCAGGAAGAGAAAGGCCAAGACAAGCAGGACGCTGGTGATGAAAATGCCACTGAGGACTGTGGGAGGGAGGAGGAGGTGGCGGAGCTCGTCTCCCCGGTTCCCCAGGCTGTTGGAACTTGTTCTCACCCTGATCCCCCTGCCTTCTCTCTTTTCCCTTCTTCCCAGTCTCCCCCTTCCCCCACAAAGAGTTCTAGTTTAGCTTAATGGGGGGGGTTCCGAAGAGGCTGCTGGTAACTCCTGGGGCTGGCCTGGTGGCTCTGCCATCTCTAACGGGACAGTGCGCAGTTTGGGTTCCTGGGCTTCACAGAGCTCCTCCTGTCCCTGGGAGGGCTCCAGGCACTCCTGGCCCTGGGCCTGGTTGTTCATCTTCTCTTCAGCCTCAATCTCCTCTGACGTGGGGATGGAGTTCTTCTTGGGACGACCTTTGGGTTTTGTGGGTGCTTCCTGTCCACCTTTAAGAACCTGTGAGAAAGGAAACAGTTATTAAATCTAGGAGATAACTCCTCTCCACTTCCCTGCTCCCCAGTACAGCCTGACACAGCATCTAAGCCATTTTTTCCCAGCAGCAAAGTCACAGCATTTGGCAAAATGTATTCTCAACCTATCACCTCTGGTCTATAAAGACACCTTCATTCTTTAAATGCTCAATGAGCTTTTTAGTCAATGTCACACATTTTGGCACTTAACAAAATTATCATAAGCACATAAAGAATTTAACTTCAACAATAAGGAAAGAAATGAAAATGTTAATGTGGTAACTATCCAGGTGACAAGTTAAAAGGACAACAATATTTGTGGCAAGCAGAAAAATAAACATGCTCTAGTGTCAAAGTGGAAATTAGTACATTTCGAAGACAATCGAAAGCCTTAAAACATGTCTACCTCTTTTGACACTGAAATTTCTTAGGCTAAATTCTAAAAAGTCATCTTAGACAAAGACTGATCTGCAAAAATGTCCATGACAATATTTGCTTATAAGAGCAAGAGTTAGGCAAGAAAATATCCTAAAGTTTCAGCCTTGCAATTGGGTAGAAATCATAGTATATCCCAAAGAGAAAATACTTGATAACCATTACAATTATTATATAGGAGAATGTTTAATGACATGGGAAATATTAATGTATTTTTGTGAAAAACAGTTTGTTAGACAGCATAATCCAATTTGGAGGCTAGACAACTATACACCACCCGTCTTCAGTGTCAGGATCATTCTTTTTTCTTTATGCTTTTTCTTTATTTTCTACGTTTTCAACAATGATCATTTGTATTTCTATAATTGGAAAAACGATGTTATGTTATATTATATAGTCTTGTATTGGTCACTGAAGTAGTAAGGCATAGTAAAAAGTGTTCTAACTTGGAAGGTAGGAAAACTAGGTTAAATTCCAACTCTGCCACTTAGTTTTGTTTTTTGAGAAAATCCTTTAAAGACTGAGTCTCTGTTTCCCAATCTGTAAAGTGGGGATAATAATACCTTATCTCACAGGGTGATGATGAAGGTGAACAGCAGATAAAGTAAATGAATGGGCCAGAACTGTTCCTGGATGGTAGGTTTCCTCTGCCCAGAACACACCTCCCACTCCTCACCTGGCTAACTTCTCCCGGAAGCCTGCCCTGGTCTCCCAGGTCTAGGTCAAATGTCCTCCGCCATGTGCCCATGAGCACCCCACACCCCCTCCCCTCCAGAGCACCTTTCATACACAATGCCCCCGCATGTTTCCTTGCCTGGTCCTTCCACTCAGTCCCTGCATGCAGCAGGTGTTCAACAACCGCTGTCAGCTGAACTAACCTTTTTCTAAGAACCTTTCCAAAGAGTTGAAGAAAGAGATAAAGCAAGCAAAATAACTGTTCCCAAATGGCCTTTGCTGACTCCAAAGAAGTTGAAGCACATTTCTTACCCCAATTTGAGATCTGCAGGGATAATTATTTAAATATTTATATTTTACTTTGGAAGGTGACAGACACTCCTTCCTCCATTGGCTTGGTGCAGTCTGGGCAACTAGTGAGAAAGGCTTCAGGAGGACACAATTAGGGGTGGGAGATATTTTTGCTACTTACATGTCTAACTTAATGTCACCTTCCCCCATGTGCACATAAGCTTCTTGCAGGCAAATCCTGCACCTCTCCTTTCCTCTGTGCTCCAAGCATCTAACTTCCAGCTCACTTTCTTTGCAGTCACTATGTATCTACTGACTACAACTTTTTCCTTCAAGAGCAGCAGACCTCCAGGTGCTAAGTCAGCAAACCATAGTTCTATTTTTAAATAGCTTTGAGATATAATTCACTTACTATATATTTTATCCATTTAAAGTGCACAATTCAATTGATTTTCAGTATAATCAGAGTTGCGCAACTACCACAGTGTAATTTTAGGACATTTTCATCACCTCAGACAGAAACCCCATACCCATTAGCAGCCACTCCCCACTTCTCCCCAAACCCCCACCCTCAGCTCTACGCAGCCACTAATCTGCTTTCTCTCTACAGATATGCTTATTTTGGATATTTCACATAAACAGAATCATATAATATGTGGACTTTTGTGTCTGGCTTCTTTCACTTCATAACGTTCTCAAGGTTCATCCATGTTGTAGAGTGTGTCAGTAAATAATATCCCATTTATGGCTATACCAAATTTTGTTTACTCATCTACAAGTTGATGGACATTGTTTGGTTTCCACCTTTTGGCAATTGTAAATAATGCTGCTATGAACATGGGTGTACAAATATCTGCTGGAGTCCTTGCTTTTTGCTTCTTTGGATGTCTACCCAGAAATGGAATTGCTGGATCATATGGAAAGTCTGTGTTTAACATTTCGAGGACTGTTTTCCAAAGCAGCTGCACCATGTTACATTCCAGCTAACAGTGTGTGTTCCCGTTCTCTATGTCCTCACCAACACTTGTTGGTGTCTTTTTGATCACAGCCATCCCAGTGGGTGCAAAATGATATCTCATCATGTGGTTTTAGTTTGCATTTCCCTGATGACCAGTGAAGTTTAGCACCTTTTCATGTCCTTATCGGACAATTGTACATCTTCTTTGGAGAAATGCCAATTCAAATTATTGAGCTATGACAGTTCTTTAAATATTCTAGATACATGCATTTCCCTGATGACCAGTGAAGTTTAGCACCTTTTCATGTCCTTATCGGACAATTGTACATCTTCCTTGGAGAAATGCCAATTCAAATTATTGAGCTATGACAGTTCTTTAAATATTCTAGATACATGTTCCTGATCACTGTTGGGAAAACAGAATAATTTAACCAGGCCCCCTCACCTTACCTATGGTTGGGGGTAGTGTGGCACATTCTTTGTAAGCAAATTGTGTGTGTGGGTGGAGTTAGTACACATGTGTGGCACCACTGCAGCTTGGCTGGCATCTGCCTCAGGCATCCATGCCACGTGTGGCAATGCTCTCAGACCTACGGCTTCCAAGGTCCTGTTTGCTGGTTACCTAGCTCATAGATCTGTGTGTGAGAGGTCTGGTGACCCAGCCTGGCATGTGAGGGGTATGGTGACCCAGCCTGGTGTGTGAGAGGTCTGGGGACCCAGCCTGGTGTGTGAGGGGTCTGGGGACCCAGGCTGGCATGTGAAGGGTTTGTGACCCAGTCTGTGAATGGGCTTGAGTGGCCTGTGAGCAACAGACCCAGGCTTAGCTCAACAATTGGCCCAGTCAGCAGGATTATGGGCAGGTAAAAGAGCATGACAATTGGCATAGTCTGCGACAGGATTCTGAGCAGGTACAGGAGATGAAAGCCCGTGGAAGAAGGAGGAAGTGTGGCCACTCGTAAATATGCTGTGCCCTATGGCCACCTTCCTGTTGACTGGGATCTGGTTGCTGCACACTGTACTGCAAGACAGCATAGACAAGGTACTACAATGCAAAACCCCTTGGGAGGGGGAGGAAATGTGGCTATCCTTGAGCATGTGGTGCCCGGTGGCCACTTTTCTGTGGACCAGAGCCTGGCTGCTGTTAACTATGCTGCAAACTGATCGAGATTTGTGGCAGAAAGCAGAGTTCTTGGAAGCAAGGATGATTATCCTGGAGGATGACATGCAGTGACTGGCCACTCCTGTTTCTCACACCAGGGAAGACGACCAACCCAGTGGTGAGTTGGGGGAAACCATGCATCTCCAGGCATGGCCTGTTGTGCACGAGAAATTGAGACAGTAAAGCAGCAGAAACAGGGAGAGCCCCTGGCTGCTGCAACTATGGGACCTAGGGGTGGATGGTGTAACGTGCTCTAGAGACGATGTAGTAAATACATGTTGCATTTGTCGGAAGGCAGATGGCTCAAAGGGTGCCATTTAAACCCAATGGCTTGACGGGTGAAGTATAAACCCAAGAAAAGAGTGCTACATGCAGATGGGCAGATGACATGAGGACGGGTGCCCCTGCAGAATTTCAAGCTATGTTTTCACCTGGTGAAAAGGTGGAAAAGTTAGTCTCTGTGACTACGCACCTGTCTTGGTGGCAGCGGTTTCAGGAGAGCCGCAGATGTGCACAGGGGCAGGGCAGCCACTCCTTGATGGACTGGGCAAATGCAGGTGTTTGAACTGTATGGGCGGACACTGCTGAACTGCCTGAGACTGAGTGAATAGCCAGTGTAAGCTGAGCTGATTGAAATAATTCAGGAGCTGGGGATGGGGCAGCCAGATGCTAAGTACCCAAGACAACAGGGAAAAAGCTCTAAAGGCTTTGAGAAGTCTGGATGGGTTCCCCACCCATCACAGGCCCTGAGGGTGTTTGAGAAGTTTGGGAGAGCACCCTTCCCATTGTAGGAGAACTGAGTTTTTCCGGAGGACAGACCTGGGGCACTGCTGCCCTTGGCAAACTGGTCCCTGCATCCCAGGTGCTCTGGCTGGAGCAATCCTCCCTCAGCACCTCCAAAGAGCAAAAGGTGAAAACCTTGGTGGTGTTCACATTGTGTTAAGTTTGCAGGCCAGCAATATGTGAGAGCAGTGGAGGCGTGGCAGCCTCCACCTAGATTTCAGAAGATGTATGAAAAGGCCGGGGGATTCAGATGGACACCTGCTGCAGGGGTAGAGCTGCTGCGGAGGTCATCTACGGAGCAATGTGGAGCAGAAAAGCGAACCCCCACTGAGGAAATGTGTAGTGGAGCCAGGATGGTGGGACTGCCACCAGGAGCCCAGAACCGTGGGGCTGCTGGCAGTGTGCAGTGCCAGCCTGGAAAAGCTGCAGGCACCAGGGCAGCTCAATGGGCTGCACTTGGCAGAGCTGTAGGAGTGAGGTTGCACAACGCTTTAGGTGTCCAGGTGCCCCAGTGTGCTTCATGTTTGCCTGCTTGGGTTTCAGATTTGTTTGGGGCCTGTTTTTCTTTTCTATTCCTCCCTTCTGGAATGGGAATATGTACCCAACATCAGTCCCACTTTATCTTGGAAGTAGATAAACTTGCTTTTGACTCTTTACAGGTTCACAGCTGGAAGGACTTTTGCCT